GTCACAATATTTGCTATGTTTTTAGAGTATTTTTCAAGAAGTCAAGCATCAACAAACAGGTGATCTTGCACAAGTTATCACTATTCATGTATTCTATGACATCTAGGCTATAAACTGTTCAGTTTATTATTAAATAAGATATTTAGCTTAAAACTAAAGCCAAATATATAACCAAAAGAAATCCCAAAACTTTATTACACCGGTTCATTACAAAATTGAGTTTATCCAACCTTTGACTCAATTTCCCAGAAGGCACAGCGAGGAGGACGTAAGAGCACGTGRAGCTTCTTAGCCAATGATCGTCACTCTGACACGGAACTCCGCAGAGAAGAGGGAAGTTCGGTTTGTTTACTTCGCGGAAAGAGAAGCTTTATYAGTCAGACGTTGCGAAGAATGAGTTATTATAAATCACTCTTACTTTGGGGACATACCAGTTTAATGGCCGCTCGAGATATTTCAATGTAAGTCTGCATTTGAAACCTTTGCTTTTAAGCTGTGCCGTGATAGTTGCTAACAAGTTGTTAGTGAATTAGCCCGGCTACAGGCAAAACAATGAAAACCAAAAACATTTAGGATAGAGTCAGTGATTACATACATAGTTTAACTCCCACTAACAAATAACAGTTGTTTCTTTAAGGTCCTGCTGTATGTTAAGAACAAGGTTGTATTATTACCAATAATTGTGGTGGATAAAATACTGACATCTAGTGGTTTGAGGCAGCCACTGCACACGAGAACCACGGCACATTGAATTATGCTTTTTTTATTTACCAAATTCCTGGTTTTGATCATTGTCAGGAGTTGTATATGCTTAAAGTTGTTTTAACATCTTTCATGTTAAGCCTCGTAACCATACCCCATGAATCATTCGGGGATAAAAATTGTTGATGTGTTGACACGCATGCTATTTGTTACAGTACAGTACAAAACTTTTTTTTCATTTCTTTTAGTTGAATGTATACAAAAACACCCAAAATAATACAGTTTGTCAAACCTAAAAGACTTTTGTTGGACCAACAAAGTGATTCTCAAAGAATCTTTAACCCAAAAAGCCTGGCATACAAAAGATGATTTTCTAGGAGAATGTATCTCTCAGGTCACGTGTCAAGTGTTTTGTTCATTTGTTTTTCTGTTTCTCAATGTTAAGATCATGTTTATCTGCTATAGTAAGGACTTTTTTAGAGCTGTTTTTCCTTTTTTTTTTCTGGCTCCTCTCGACGTGGAGGAGCAGCGGCTCTACTCTGAGTCCCTCCCAGATGACTGAGCTTCTCACCCTATCTCTAAGGGAGAGCACAGACACCCTGCAGAGGAAACTCATTTTGGCCGCTTGSATCTGCGATCTCATTCTTTCGGTCACTACCCTCATAGATGAAGGTAGGAACGTAGACCGACTGGTAAGCCGAGAGCTTCGCCTTCTGGTTCAGCTCCCGCTTCACCACGACAGACCGGTYCAGCGCCTGCATCACTGCAGACGCAGCACCAATCCGCCTGCCAATCTCCCGCTCCATTCTTCCCTCATTCGCGAACAAGACCCTGAGATACTTAAACTCCTCCACTTGGGGCAGGACCTCCTCCCCGACCCGGAGGCGGCACCCTACCGTTTTCCAGCTCACGACCATGGTCTCGGATTTGGAGGCACTGATCCTCATCCCAGCCGCTTCACACTCGGCTGCGAACTGCTCCAATGAGAGCTGGAGATCACGATCTGATGAAGCCAATAGGACCACATCGTCCGCAAAAAGCAGAGATGTGATCCTAAGGTCACCAAAACGGATCCCGTCAACACCTTGGCTGTGCCTAGAAATTCTGTCCATAAAAGTTATGAACAGAATCGTTGACAAAGGGCAACCTTGGTAGAGTCCAACTCTCACCGGAAATGAATCCAACTTACTACTGGCAATGCGGACCAAGCTCTGGCACCGGTTGTACAGGGACCTAACAGTCCATATCGATGGGCCTGGTTACCCCATACTCCCGGATTACCCCCCACAGGAGTCCCCTAGGGACATGGTCGAACGCCTTCTCCAAGTTCACAAAACACATGTAGACTGGTTGGGTGAACTCCCACACACCCTCCAGGACCCTGCTGAGGGTGTAGAGCTGGTCCGCTGTTTCACGACCAGGACGAAAACCACACTGCTCTTCCTGAATCCGAGATTCGACTATCCAATGGACCCTCCTCTCCAGGACCCCTGAATAGACCTTACCAGGGAGGCTCAGAAGTGTGATCCCCCTATGGCTGGAACATACTCTGCGTTCTCCCTTTTTAAATAGGGGGACCACCACCCCAATGAACCAATGCGACCCCACAACATCCAGAGCCTTAAGGAACTCATTCTCATTTACAAAGATTCAGAATTTATTTAAAATGTCCCAAAACCGATTTTTATATAAAAAATAATAATAAAGCAAATCCAATGGCCATCAGCCTCCATTTTGTAACTACATGGGACATCCTGACATCATCACGCAGCTGCTTCTGGAACATGAATGTGCAGAAAGCCAAAATAAAGAGGAAACTACAGAACTGGAAGAAAGAGAGCTTCAACTGACCACTGTCTTCATTGAATGCAAAGATTTGGGCTCATTTTGGTTTTTACTGAATGAGTCTGAGTTTGACATGAGCTTCATTTTGTGCAAGGTTTGCAAAATGAAGATGAAGCACTTTGGAAACATGACAAATGGGCTCACATTATCAGTTTTGAATGAAAATTAGATTTTGAATCTAATCGTGGCCCCAAAAATCAGAATCGAATCGAATCGTGAGAGAGTAAAATATTCCCTCCCCTAATAGACATACAGAGCTTCACAATTTCACAATAAATTTTCAAACCGAAGCAAAAAACAAACTACATTTAGATTAATTCTGAAATGATATGGGGGTCTAAGCATTAAGAGTGACTGAAGATCACAAAAACCTGACCCACGCACTGTGGGGGTCAGACAATGCATTTATCGTAGTGCATAGCTATAGATAGCTTTGTAGGTACTCCTGTCTTCTCAACTTTACTCTGTTTTTTTGTACAGGACATGCACAATACACAGTGGTAAAATACACTGCTCAAAAAAATAAAGGGAACACTTAAACAACGGACGCTAACTCCCGATCTTAATCAATGAAATATTCGCATTGAGTGTTCTGTACAGAGTTGAATGTGCTTCACAAAAGTTTGATTTACTTGGACTTAGCGTGCGTTGTTTAAGTGTTCCCTTTATTTTTTTGAGCAGTGTATAAGGACTGGATAGAAAGTGAGTAAAATTACAAACAAAGTTCAAAGAAAAACTTAACCCGAAGAGCTAAACAACAAGACTACTTTGAAAGGTCACAAGAACACTTGGTATCTTGGAAATAAAATATACACGTATAAGACAGAAAAAGTAGTGTAAAATTTCTGCACAGAATAATATTTGCTGATTTTGACAAAAATGGTTTGGATTAAAAAAAATACAAAAAATGAGGTTTAACTCATTTGCTTTTACTGAAATAATGTCAACAATCTCATAATTGCAACAGCAAACTCYGTGAAACCCAAAATCCACAAACTTAGGAGAGAAAAAAACCTTAAAGATAATATTTGACCAGTCACATCTTGTTCTTGCTCCAACATGAGCTCAGCCAACAGAGCTGCTGGGGAGGGTGTTTGGATGTGTACATATATTTTTCTGCCTGTATGACTCTCGTTTTCACCAGTGTTTTTGTGTAGCTGCTCTGTGTTGGCCAGTGTATGCCTACACATATCTGTCTGCAGGACACAGATTTTGATGAGATATTTCCCCACTTGTGTGTTTGGTGTGTTTTTGTTTTGATTTTGGCCTCTGCCTTACTTAAAAAAATGAAGCCTTTAAGAGAGGAGTCAACAAGAAGCGTTTGTTCTTAATTTGGTTTAGCGTTTTTCCTCCCTGAAAATTAGTATTTATATATTCACGTCAGTGTGCCATCGGGGCTTTCCAGCAGAGCTGATGGCAAGACATTAAACAAATCGTGTGTTACGAGGTGATCATAAAATACAAGCCTGTGGTGTCCCACACAGACCTGTCATTATGGCAAAACACAACACACACACACACACAGACTATACAGACATGAAACACATCCTAATACACACAAATACCCTCAGGATTTGCCCACCATGTTTTTTTTCTTCATCTTCATAAAAGGTGAAGAATGTGCTGTTTATTTCTCAGTAGGCAGTCTTGAGTGGAGGAGATGACTTGATTGCCTGTAGCTCAGGAATTTGATCATTAAATCGCCGTAATAAGAGGTTAGAATAACCAGATTAAAACACCACGCTTCAGTTTAATTTATACTTATTATTAATGCCACATATTATTCTATTAGCCACCCATACTCTTACAGGAAGCTTTGGTTGATGTGAGCCACATGTTTAAGTACTAAGGCACTGATTGTATTTTAAGTTATTTACCTAATACCTCACTGGATTGTTTATAGATTTATAATTCATGTTTGTGGATTTGATAACACTTCGTTATTGATGGTGAACCGTTTTGTTTAACATGTCAACAAAATTTCCCTTCAGMAACAGTAACTCCTCACAAATCTATCATCTGTGGCTGAAGTTGATAAGGTATTTGCTTGTTACTTTCTGGCAATGTGTTAATCTGTGTGTATTGTTAGCAAAATATCCCATGAACCAGTGGAATGATTTTATTGAAACTTTCATAAAGGAGTCATTGGTTTTTTATCTCCCGTTGATTACATTTTGGAGTCAGTCCAATGCAAGATGGCCACTACAGCCAACATATATAGGGCTATATTGCAGTCAGTTATACAAATGAGCTAAAATGTGATGTGGTAGTAGCTGAGAGTCATGAGAGTATTGCATTACCTAACATTATATGCTACAAGTATGCTTGCATGAATAGAAGCAGACAATCGGAATTTCTTCAAAGCATGCAGAGTCTTAGTTTTAAATTGTGAATTTTTTTGTATGTTATTTTAGTAGTCAAAATGATCTAGGTTTTGGACTGCTCTTTTATTGTTTGTTTGCATTTCAGTAATTTTTCTGTTATCAGCGTCACACACAGCTTGCCTCATGTTTGATTTAATTTGTGGACCTTGACACCAATAAAAAAAAAAGTAACTGGATAAAAAGCTCTTACTGTATAAGTGTTACCTCAAGGCTGCAGTAAATTTGGTTTTCATGTAAATAAACAAAACGTCTCTGGTTTCATCCAGCTTCTCACCAAAATCATTCAGTATAATCTGCAAGTCATAGAACATAAATGTACACACAAAATTTGCGGATAATTCTTCTGCTGTCATTCTGCAAGCAAATTTTGCTTGTCAAAATGTTTTTAAACTTGCAAGACATTTAAATTAAATTAAACAAGATGTTTAGGAGATATTTCAAAAGCAAATCACAATCTTGTGTAGCTCCTTTTAATGTCACATTTCTAGTAGTGCATTTTAGTTCATGATATAAAGTGCAGATCATGTTTTAAGAATTTCTTTATTAGTTTGACTTAAAATAGAACAATAATAAAATATAAAGGATACAAAACACTGTTTAATGAGTGGATTTCACAGTGGTTTTATTGTTTATCTTCCTTAGGATTTAAGTAAATCAGCCTGTAAAAGAAGCCAAATGACTGAGCTGCAGCCAACGAGCCGGCTCCAACAAACAGCAGAGTGTTTTCTTAGTGTCCAGGAGATGCAGTCCTGGCTGGACAAGGCAGTGTCTTGGGGTCAGGCTGACTCATCAGACACCCGAAAAGACACCTGCCAACACTTGAGCAGACTGAGGGATTTCCTCCAGCAACTTCTCACACAAATCAACAATACGGTAAGCAGATTTACAGATTTGAGTTTGTGATGAATTTGAGTCCCAGCACCATATTTTCTAGATGGCGTAATGGATCTAGTTAAATATCCACTTGTAGACCCTTTTACAGGGTTTAAACACATACATAATAAGGTTATTTAGAGCACCAAGTACTAGACTGAATGGGGGCCGTTTGATTAATGAAGCAATAAGTTAATTAATACACAAGGAACTTTATTCCATGTGGCCAAACCTGCCAAGTTGGAGCCAGGATTTGAAGTGCAACCCAAGCAGTGGTAGGGTTCTGCTAACAGGAGCTGCTCTGTGCGATGCAGAGGCTGGGAATGTTTGGCTGGCAACACCGCAGCACGGAGTTAGTCAGGTAATAGCCGCATCGGGACCTTGAGCGCTAACCTAATGTATCCCCATATCAGGTCTAGCAAATCTAGGAAGGGGGGCCCAAGAACAGGAGGGCTACAGTATTTTCAGTTTTCACCATTTTCTGGTCAGCTTGCTCTCCTGACTCAAAGTCACTGCCTCTAATAGCCTTTTTTTTTTCTTCAAATTTGTGTTCTTTCTACTCCATGTGTTTCATTGTAACACTTTGTTACTGATTAGAATCAGTCTCCTTGTCTTTGTTTGACTTTTTAACTCTTTTCAGCTTTGGCAACAAAAAGTATATTTTTATAGATCAGGCATATATGAGCAGTTGTTTTTCTCTGTCTGTCTCTTTTCCTGTTGACATTATTCTGGGTGTATGTAATGCAGAGATGTCAGTGTGTGAGGAATGATGGAGCAGATAAGAAGAACGGATACAAAGAGAGAGTATGGTGCAGCATAATTGGGTTGAAATCCTTTTTTACTGGCAACGGGCTCATAAAGGTCCATCTGAGGATAGCCTGCTTCTTGGCAGGAATTCTCATCTTTTGATGATTTTACAACTTTCCTGTGGCTCAAGGCCCAAGAAGAGAAATATTTTCTATTGCTAATTTCCAGGTTCTGTAACAGGTCAGAATTGTTATTGAACCTGGTATTTTACATTATATTTTGTGAGAGATTTTTTTTATTCTAGATGCAGAAACGTGAGGACAGGACAGCTAATGGACCTTTTAGAAAAGCAGTGTTTCATCTGTCAGAATTTGTAATGATGAAACAAAAACATTTACCATAGATTATGAGATTAATGTTGGGTTTTTAGTATTTATTTAAACTCTGTTTGACTGATTAGCCTTTTGCTCCTTATTGGTGATGACCTCATAGCTTTGAATAAATCAAGTACTTCTGTCTTTTTGTGTTATTTACAATAATAGTGATTAGTGTGTGCCTTTAAACCATTGTTTGCTAACGTATAAGCTTACTGCTGCACATCATGCGTCTATATTTAAGTAAAGAATCACCTCTTTTTTTGCGTGTATCAGTCGTATATGGTTCTAAATCCCTTATCTTACAAAATCGTAAAAGTTAACAAACATGTGAAGTGGACGTGAACAAGTCAATCCAGCCATCTAACATTACATGTAATGTACTGTACATGTACAGTATTCAGTGGGTATTACATGTAATTGTTCCATAACCTGGTACAAGGTCATGTGATCTTGTGGTCGTTTTCTTTCATTAAAACAACATGATCACAAACATCACCTTATCTTAACGCCTGGTTATGATCCACTCAAAAATGAGATATTTTTGTTTCGACGTTAGGCCATGAAAGGGTTAATTATTTTAAAAACACCTTGGCATGTATGTTAATGTGACAGATCGTATTTTAACCCTCACATTTCCTTGCACAAAGGACATGAATTTTGTGATTTTCCAACTGTCCCTGCTCACTGGAGCGAGAAGCGTTACTAAGATTTTGGTGTCATTCGAAGCACAATGATCCCCTCTACCAAAGGTTAATCCCACATTTTCAAAATTATTATCTGTTAATTTTATGGCGATTTTTCTGAGAGTATCATTTTTTTCTGATACACCCTGTGTAGCGCTTTATCAAGCCCAGTCGGACCCCCAAAGCACTTTATAGTTACTGTCATTCACCCAGTCACACAAACATTCAAACTGATGGTGGTAAGCTACAGTGTAGCCACAGCTGCCCCTGGGGCACACTGACAGTGGCGAGGCTGCCATGCACCGGCACCACCTCTGTCGGCAAGTCGGGTGGAGTGTCTTGCCCAAGGACACAACAACTGAGACGGCTGGAATGGAGGATCAAACCTTCAACCCTCTGGTTTCAGAACAACTCCCCTGACCCCTCAGACACAGCCGCAGAAACCAAACAGTTTTGCCCACCGGTGGAACAAAGACTGTCTTGTGGTGTGTGCTGATCCCACAAGTAATGCCAGGACTGAATAAAATGTAAAATTAAATTTAGTTTTGTTCCTCTGAAATGTCAGATAAACAACCTGAATCTGTTGTTTATTATAGTCTGAAAGGATCAGTTAAAATAATGACAATTTATTGGTTATATCATTTTATTAATTTTTTGTTTGTTTGTGGTTTTGTATTTATCTTAGAGCTCCACGACAGAAATCATGAAGAAGCTGCCATTTTTAGGCCAGCTTTTAGGTCGCCTCTGTTGGAACCCTTACGTCACCGCAGGAGGTGAGTGTATGTTTTGGACTCTCCATCAGCAGTGTCAAAAAAATAAAAACCCTGATAAACATCGATAATAAATCTGGTATCTGTTGGGTTTTTTCCCCCCTCAGAAACAATCAGGGAACTACTTCTCCAGTGTTTGTGGGGACTGCACTCAGAGCATCCAAGAGATGCTGTGGAAAGAAAGGCCAACCAGTGGATACGGGTATGAAATTGTCTTTTTTTTTAATCTTTACTAAAGCAGAACTCAGGTCCAACTCAGTATTATTTGTTAGTACTGACAGAGAATTTGAATTATGTAGTATTTACTGTATATATAAATAGTCAAGAATTTTCTGTGTAAATGAAACTAAAATGAAACTAGGACTCTGACCTGGGGCCTCATGTACAAAGACTTGCGTGGATTTCTTACTGAAACGGTGTACAGTCAAATCCAGAAAACGGCGTACGCACAAAAAAAATCCAGATGTATCAAACTGTGCGTATGCCTGAATCCACGCACATTTCTTTTGTACATCACAATCAACGTGGAACTGAGCGCAGGTGAGACACCTCCCCTGACACGCCTTCATTAACATATGTTAAACAGATGCAAATTACTTCCTGCGTGTGTGAAGGACATGTTTGAGTGATCCCTGCGCGATCAGAAATGATTTCTAATGTCAAAAAAATAATGAATTTAATATAAAGTGAGTGAGAAAAAAATCCTAAGTAAAAATAGGAATAAAATATGTTTATCACGCAAAGAAGGAGTGGTTGTGTGTCGGTGTGTGCGCGTGCGCACGCTGCTGTGGTGCGCAACCCTTTCATCACTTTGCGCACGAGTTTATTACCATTACTGTAAACACAGAGGAACTTAAATGTTTGGTAGAACATAGATCTTTGTTTATTTCATAGCTGACATTAAGAAACGAGTCTCTTTGTCTCAGTAGAGTTCACATGACATGACGTGATGTTGGAGAGTCTCCACAAACGCTGCACGTACCGCAGCCTTTGTGCGCAGTCTGTTTGTCTGTCCAGCTTTTGCTCTCCTACTTACAGCATTTTCACAAGTTGTAAAGTGTACTTCCATGTGTCATTTTGGAGAAATTTGCAACAACGTCAACGCAAAGTATGAAACACCACTGCCGGCGAGGGTGCGCACTCCAGAGCGCGACCATAACTCGACCTTTAGAATCATATGGATGAGACGATTCCGTTGGTCATGTTTCAGCTTTGGGTGGACTGGACTGATGCAGTCCCAATGGGTCTGCCAGCTCCCTCTGGAAAGCTCCTGTGGAACCCCAGTTCAATCGCTGCTGCTACACGTGGCTCGCTGTGTCGCACTCCCAGAGTGCAGCTTTGCCAAACTAAAAAGGATTTTTCCTCAAAACGGCTGATGAGCCACTCGTCATCAGAAAATTCTATCTATTTATAAATAAAAGCTCTGCGTGTTACACTATTTATTATATCCTCCAGTAAGGCTGAATCTGTTCCTGTTAAATGTATTTTTGGCACAACTTTGTGCATCTTTTATTTAACTGTGTCCATGTGGATGTAATAATTGTTAGTCTTGTCTGTCTGGTGTGAACAATAATCATTTTCACATCATGAACAGTTTCTCAGACTCACCTCTAAGTGTCTCCAATGGAACCAGAACCACAGAAACGTGCGTACGCCAGCCCTGGAGTTGGCGTGGGGCTGCGCACATTTCCACCTTCAGTTGAGTTTTGATACATCCGAAGTTTTGCGTGGAAAATGGCGTACGCAAGGTTTTTGTGCGTACGCACTGTTGATACATGAGGCCCCCTGTCTGTGATATCCTCAGCTGTAACCTACAATAATTATACATTTAAACAAATACTTTTCACAGATAAAAAAAAAAAAAGAAAAACAAGAAGCTGAAAGTAGTGGAGATAAATAAATAAATAAAACATTATTGTTATTCTGTGGTAAATTGTATGTAGTGGTATATTTTCATTTATACTTCCTTCATATGTCATTTCTCATAATATTAGCCCTGATTTTCATTTTAAATTGTTCTGGTTGAGTTGATGTACAGATTACTTACACATCATTCTTTTATAAAAACGCTCTTAAAGAAATTCTTCTTTGACTGCCTTTGGGCTGCTGAAGAGATTTTCTGTCTAATTTACTTTTAATAGGAGTTTGCGTGCCAGATCTCTGTCTTCCCCTCCAACTGGACACGGACGATAAATGAATTAGATTGTCTCTGTGTTGGTCTAAGTCTTTGTGCCTCCAACCCTGTTTCATATTTTGAAGTCAAATTAAAAGTGACTGTTTCACTGCCTCCTGTCATCGAAGTAAGATCCGCCTTTATATTATTGTTATCCAACATGACTCTCTCTGTGTGTTCTACGAGCACACAAAGACAGGAGAGAGAACAGAGGGAAGAAAAGATTCTGCAATTCTCAACTTTGAGAAAGTTCACACAGATGGCTCACCATAAACAATGGGAGTCCTACACATTTTTGCCAGATTAATTGTGTGTTTGTATTCTTTTGATTAATTTCTCATCTAATAAAACATCTCGCTAATTAAAACAGGGCCTTGGAAGTAAACGTTGAATTTGCCAGATGGTCTTTGACCTGTTGGAGGGGGGAAGCAGAGTGCATGTGTGTGCTGTACTATCTGTTGTTGTATCTGTGTGTGTGTGTGTGTGTGTGTGTGTGTGTGTGTGTGTGTGTGTGTGTGTGTGTGTGTGTGTGTG